ACATACATACATACATACATACATACATACATACATACATACATACAATGTTGGCAGGTGGTCGAGAGAAAGCCCGTGTGCGTATACCGTTGGAGGAGGAAGGGGGGATGGTTAAAATATTTGTGCCCCCCCCGGTACCCGGGGGGTGGCGGCAGTGGGGTGGGGGGTTCGCTTGGTGTCTCAACGCAGTTGAGGGAGCTCGATGAATAAGGAGGGGGAGGAGAAAAGCGACTGCGATCCTCCAGGCTTGAGGATCGCGGCTGTAATTCGGTTTGCGTTTGCATTTCTTTCACCCTCCCCCCCCCCTCTCCCCACCCGCTAGGAGCGAAGGAAGAAGACGCCTTGGAAAGGAAAAGAGTGCCTTTGTTCATTAGTTCTGCCTGTGCCGTTTGAACTGCCCTCCACGCGCGCACAATCGTCTCCACGCCATCCTATAAATTAAGCTGGACCATGGCAGACGACGAAAACGGTCTTAAAGGCGGCGGCAGCAGCAGCAGCTCCTCCTCGAACGAGGCCCCTCCGGAGCCCTGCACGGACACTTGCGAGAACAGCCGTTGCAACGTGCTGACTTGGGAGCAAGTGCAGCGCCTGGATCGTATCCTGAGCGAAACCATCCCGATTCACGGCCGGGGGAACTTCCCCACCCTGGAAATGCAGCCGCGACAGATCGTGAAGGTGGTAAGGAGCCGCCTGGAGGAGCAAGGCATCGGCGTGCGCGATGTGCGGCTCAACGGCTCGGCGGCCAGCCACGTCTTGCACCAGGATAGCGGCCTGGGCTACAAGGACTTGGACCTCATCTTCTGCGCCGATTTGAAAGGCGAGGCGGAGTTCCAGACAGTCAAAGACGTGGTCCTGGATTGCCTCTTGGATTTCTTGCCGGACGGGGTTAACAAGGAGAAGATCACACCGCTCACCCTGAAGGTAAATTAAATGGGATGCGCTCCCCGTCCCAGCAGGTGGCTGCTTTAGACAGGCTAGGGCCAGCCTAGAATAAAAGAGAGGCACATTGGAAAATGTGAGGATTAGACACATCAATTTGCTCTGTCTCTCCCTCTATTGCTTATTGCCAGCACCATCTTTTAATTGGCTTCCTCCAACTATTAATTCGCCTTTGCTTTTGGAAGAGCAGGGAGATCCATATGCTTTAATTATAGCCTCGATCAGTCGCTGAATTAAACCGAAGTATTGGAGCTTGCTTAGAGGCCCCTGGTTTTTCTAAGTTGTTTTAATTATAGTTATTTCTTTTCTTCCTTGAGTTGTGGATGGGCCCGCTAGAGGGAAACCCTGCTCCTCAGTTTCCCTGCCCTCCATTTGGAATAGAGAGGCTGAGCCATTCTGCCCCAGGGTGCTAGAAACACTAGGCTTGGACTTAGTTAAGGATTTTGAGAGCTTAGTTTCTTATGATCATGATTTATCACTTGTTGCTTGTATGTACATTCTGAGCTTATATACAGGAAACAAATTCCTTGTGTATCCAATCACACTTGGCCAATAAAGAATTCTATTCTATTCCATTCCATTCCATTCCACTCCACTCCACTTCACTCTACTCTTCTATTCTTTTATTTTCTATTCTATTTTCTATTCTATTTTCTATTTTCTATTTTCTA